CCAATACGGATTAAGTTCTTAATTTTAGACCCCACTGTACCTCTGTTGTTTGTTCTGTGTTTGATTTCTCAGTTTGTTATTATTATTTTTGTACGGCAAAACAAATCAACATTTTACAAGGTAATTCTAAAAACGGGGGTGACCCAATTAAAAAGATATATAACTTTGAAACTGGACTTCAGAACAACACCAGATTTGGCACAGGTGTAGCAGTCTGCTCTTATTCTGTGCCAGATTTGTTGAATAATATCCCTGACAATTGTTTTGTATTTGGGTGAGATGTGGTTAGCTGGTGTTAGCTGCTCTCTATGGTAATTGCCGTATTTTTCGTTCCATAAGACGCACCTTTCCATAAGACGCACCAATTTTTTAGGAGAAGAAAACAGGAAAATATAATCTGTTTTCTTCGCTCCATAAGACGCACAGACTTTCCACCCCCCTGTTTTGTGGGGGGAAACTGCGTCTTATGGTGCGAAAAATACGGTAAAATGTTGCTAAAAGACTGAAGAATTCTAATTAGAAATCAACAAATGCAGGTGCCAAGGATAAACATTCCCTTTTAGCTAGTGCTGTTGCTCCCTGGTATTCAGGTTAAGTCAAAATTATACAGATAGTTTATGAGGAAAAGGGAAGCTATCCTTTCCGTGTTCATTCTTGCTTAATCTGTCCAAGGAACATTCACCATTTTGATATTTATTAATGACTTTATAACCAGTGATGTAGTGCTGTGATTATTTCATACCAAGCAATTCATTCAATTATTATTATTCAGACTTTATATCGAATATTTTTCCCTACTCTGGCTGTGATTTTGACCTTGTGCCAGCAGAGCTATAACAGTGCTATATTTTGATTATGTGCAGTTTTACACAGCTGCAAAGGGGCTTGATAAGAATTCTCTACTAAACCTGATGCGTAAAATTCTACCATGAATTTAGGCCATTTTGACATTAGCCAACATCTAGTTGCTAGTCCCAGCTAGTGTAGGGTAATTAATCAATTGCATCATATGTAAATCCCATTGATTCTACTCCAGCTGGAACTTGCAGTTATATTTGTGACTTATTTATTATATATAAATATACAGTGGTGCCTCACATAACAATGTTAATTGGTTCCAAAAAAATCGTTGCTATGGGAAACATCGTTATGCGAAACGCCATTTCCCATAGGAATGCATTGAAAACCAGTTAATCCATTCCAGTAGGAACGGATTGCCATCCTTAAGCGAAAAACCCCCAGTTTAAAATGCTTGGAATAGCTTCTGCACCTTCTAAAACGGGTGCAAACTTAATTTGGCTTTGATCTGACTTTTCGTTAATTTTTGCTGAATTTTTTTCTCCCCCACCAACATTTGACAGCTCCATTATTTCCTATGGGGGAGGAAAAAATTCACAAAAAATTAATGAAGACTCATAACAAAGCCAAACTTAGCTTGCACCTGATTTAGAAGGTCCTCTAACGAACCCAAGCATTTAGAACCGTTTTTGACCATTTTAAGACACTTTTTAAAATGAAAAAACAAACATCATTATGTGAAGCAGGGGACCTAAAAACGCATTCGCTATGTGAAACATGGTCCCAAACTTCGCTAAGCAAAAATCGCCCATAGGAAACATCGTTAAATGGTGCATATTATTTTCTTTAAAAACCCATCGTTATGCGAATTCATCGCTAAACGAGGCAATCGTTAAGCGAGGCACCACTATATATTGGAACACTTTCCAGTCACTCTGCTTAGTTACATTTCCAGTTTTCTGGTAATTTTGGATCTTCCTCCTTGGGAAATGTATTCAGTTGCCCTGATGTTCTTCTTTTCAGGCAAGGTTCAAGTTGGGAAGAAATTGAGCTGTGACCAGAAATGTATTTTCCAGAATATAGATTGCACAGAAAATCGTAATGAAGAGAACCCATCTGCATCTCCTTAAATTATTCAGTTCTCTGCTTTATTTTCCTCCCATGGCTGAAGATTTGATTGTTGAGTTGTACATTACTGTATTTTTAACTCGTCGCTTAGTTTCTTACGCATTTATTTTCAGTACCTGGCTGAAAGTGTTACATGTTCCATATTTTTAGCACAATGTGCTGCAAACAGTTGCCATCGTGCAAATGAGGTTTTCATGTGTACAGAGTTCCATGTTAGGTTATCAAAATACTGCCTGAGTTTAGTCATCTTTTTCAATTGGAAATGCATTATTTTAGGTGTTTGAAAACCAACAAATAAACAGTTATTTGAACCTTTGGAATTTACCTCATTTAAAATCCAATTTTTATTTATTTGTTTTTAATATCAATAACTAAAACCAAGTGGGAACACTGTTTTGATGCAGTGCTTAGGAATTATTTGTATATTATGTGAACAATATTGACCTGTTTAAAAAAAATGAAAAAAAAATACCTACACTCTTGTCGTTCCTCACTACACCTTATGTTTGTCATAATATTTTTGGAGAAATTGGGAAATGCTTTCTTCCAAACAGAAATAAAAATTAGGTTTCAATATTACAGCTACAGGAGCTTTGTATTGCTGAACTTTAGTCAAAAAATGTTTCACAATGGCATTTTTAAAAAAAGGAAAACCAATTTTTTTATCTGATGAATTCTACCAGTGTAACTTTTTTTCTAAATAAACAATAGTTTTCTCAATGGGTCGTAAATCATTGTGTGTGTCCTTATTCAGCTAGATTATGTCCGGAGTTTCTGATTGTCATATATCTTGGTACTTTGTTTTTTAAAAAAAGAAACCTTTAAATTAGATTTCATTTTCAGAAGCATTAGAAGCATATAACCCAAGAACTAGTGTCAACTCTGTTATTATGGCTTTTCCTATTTCATTTATTAGAGGTGTTTTTAGAGTGATGTCATCGTTTAAAAAGATCTAAAGGCTTGCTGAAGTCTCATTTAAGAATGAAACTATGTGATTTCATTAACCTACCCCTTTGCCAAGTGACATTTTCATTCATCAGATGACCATTTGGCTTTCCATTGTTACCGCAATAATAATAATTACATGTCTTCAATTCCATTATGACTTCTGGCAACCCAGAAGACTTCAGGGATTTTCTACGTGCAGAGTACTCAGAAATGGTCTAGAATTCCCTTTATCTGGAAGTGCCCTGGGAGATTGTAGCTTGCCCAAAGTTTGCATGGGCTGACTGGTCTTCTGGGTGGGGAAATGAATTCTCAATTTTTGTGGCCTCTGTGAATCACACAGTTGGGTTTTGCACCCGCATAAAAGTGCAGTCAGAGTGTTTGAAAATCGCACAGCCGAAGTTAAAAGCTCTTCTTCACCTCATCACTCTGTGTGCATGCTTCAGGGCACCTTTAGGTTCCTCTCAGTCCCTCTCCGTCTGCCACAAGACTGTTCCAGACCATAAATTTTACCTATTCCTCTTTACGTACCTTTCTTTCCCATTCTTTCCCTTTTTCTCTTTAGCACTCTTATAACCCTCCCAAAAAGTGGAGTCAATTTTCCTGTTTTTTGTCATTTCCCCCCAATCCAACCGGCCTCCTTTTCCCTAGCAAAATAAATAGCCGTTCCGGCACTATTTAAGAAGTGCCTTCAGTGTGAGCTGAAAATTCCCCATAGCGACTACCATTCTAAGTGCCCCTGCCATCTGGGGAGAGACACATTTATCCCAAAATTGCTCACTTTGTAAGGTGTTCACCAAGGTGGTTCTGAAAAATCAGCAGTCGTGATAAAACCTATCTCGGGCAAAAGTCCAGGCTGTGGACTCTATTAACCAACAGACTGACTCCAACATCCTTCAATATGCAGTCCAACAAAAATAGCAAGTGACATTCAGGTTCAGAGGGCTATCCCCAAAGAGATCCATATACCTGATCCATTCTACAAGACATGTGGCTAACTGTTCTAAGTCTATGGCACCTGCCGTGCCCTTGAGGTGTTGTGCATGCAGCGAAAATTTCTGAGTACTCGGAATTTAAGACATAAGACATAAGACATAAGTGTGGCCTTGAGGTGTCGTGCATGCAGCAAAAATTTCAGAGTACTCAGAATTTAAACAGTGGATCTCCCCTTTAATGTGTTTAATTCTTCAACACAGGTTAATGGAGGGCCTGGAAGAAAAGAGAACAGCAACAAAGCACATGGGTGTCTCCGCACAGAATTGTCAATACAATAAAAGACAATCTTATCTATACTATTCTAGTCTTATCTATAATTTTTATTTATTTATTGACCATCAGAACGATCTAGGACTTTGAACAGAACTGCTCCTATACCTTGCCATCATAAATCAAAGTAGAACAAGCTCAAATCTACACCTACCTTGAAGAAATCAAACAGGAAAACTAAACTCTGTTTTTGACTCTCCTGTGACCAAGAGTGACCATATTACAACTTCTCAGTGCTGTTTTTATTATTTTTATTTATTTATTGTATTTATACCCCACCTATCTAGTCATTTCGACCACTCTAGGCAGTTTCTCTTTCCCCAGCAACTGAACCCTTGCACATTTTATAACCAAATGGTGCAAAGTTACAAATCATTGTTGGGTTCTCTCTGTTATTTCCTGGGATTATGCTATAGAGTTTGCTGAAATTCCAACCGCTGGCAGAATTCGCAGAACAAGATCATCTCAGATTTTGTGAGAGGAGATACTGGCTTTGCTACAAAAGGTTATTATAGACCTGGTCCCATTTGTAAGACTTAGATACGGATTTTATTCAAGGTACTTCACAGTTTTCAAAAAGGACAAAGCGCTGTGTCCTATTCCCTATCTCCATGCAGTCAACAAATATGTAGTAGCAAAGAAATTCTGCACGGCGACCCCTTCTACTATCCTTCCATTGCTGAGAAAAGGAAACTGGTTTGCTGTAGTGAACTTGAAGGGTGCTTCTTTTTATAGAACCATCGGACAGGATCACTGTCATTTTCTTTGCCTCTAGTAAACAAGATCCACAAAGTCAAGGTCCTTCAATTTGGTGTGTTTACAGCCCCGCTGGTTTTTTTTAAAAAAAGTACAGCTCCAATCACAGCATTTCTCAGAATTCCTGTCTTCCCTTATATAGATGAGCACCTCCTAGCTTTGCATTTACACACCGTTCTGAAAAGAAACTGCTTTTGTGTTCAGTTTGTTGTCTGGTGTCAGTCTCTGCATGAATTTGCAGAAGTCTTCCCTGGTTCCCACCAGAGACATTAAAATACATAGGTGTTATTTTAAATGCAGTAGTGGTGAGGGCTTTTTTGTTCCACAAAGGATATTAATACTAATTCTCACAGCATGAGAAATGATCTGTTGTACCTTAGTACCAGGACATCTGGTTCAAAATCTGGGACATATGTCCTCAATCACAGTGGTGGTCAGATATTACCATTTGAAATTGACACCTTCACAGGGTTGGTTTCTTCACCACTTCAACAGAAACAGTGCTCTCAACGGACTTCCGCTTTCTTCCGAACTAATTTTGGAACTTCAGCGGTCAATGTAACCACACAATTTATCAATGGGAATTCCGTTCAAGCAGTTGCAGCCATTGATCCTACTTACTACAGATGATGGGGAGCCCGTTGCTGGGACACCTCAATTCATGCAAAGTGGCCTCCTCAAGAGAGGAGAATCACATCAATTATCTTGAACTCCTAGACACCTTCAAGGCCTTGAAAGCTTTTGAGCTTCTGGTAAGAGGTTGGGTGGTGCAGATTGTGACTGATAATATCACAGTGCTTTTCCTACCTAAACAAGGGAGGGGAAACTCATTCCATAAATCTTCTCGGTCTTACAAGTCTCCTGTGGGATTGATGAATATGGAGCCGTGTGTGCCCCATAGCAATTCACATACCAGGGTACGACCATTAGGAAGGAAACCATGTCAGCAGGAAAACTTAGTCTCACAGATGGGAGCTAGCTCCAGAGGTTTTTGACATGATCACTCACAGTTGATGGCATCTGACAGTTTACTACTCCCCATGTGGGGCAATTTACTAACACTTTATGAACATCTAGTTCGCCATCCATATACTGTACTGTATAGACAACTTAAGATTGATAGCATGGAGGTTTTACCCTCCTTAGAGACAATTCTACAAGCCTCCAGGAAGCCATCTGCTAAGTGTTTCTACTCTTACAAATGGAAAAGGTCTTTGCACTTCACAGAAACCATTCAGGCTCACACTCAACCAATGGAACCCCACGCAGTACTTAGATTTCTTCTTCATTTAAAGGAATCTGGCTTATCACTTTCATCATTATAGGTTTATCTTGCAGCCATAGTGGCATATCAGCTTCCAAACAACCCAACACTCTATGTCTCATTGTTATGTTGTATTTGCATTCTCATTGAATGCCAGTGTGCTCAACACTGTTGAACCCCTGTACACTGCCACCACATGTGGAGGTATGTTGCCTACACCACTAAAATTTGTTTGGCTTCACAGGTTAAATTCAACCTGCGTATTAGCTTTAGATGCCTAGAGTGGCCTTTTAGGCCAGATGGGCAGGGTATAAATCAGATGATAGATAGATAGATAGATAGATAGATAGATAGATAGATAGATAGATAGATAGATAGATAGATAGATAGATAGATAGATAGATAGATAGATAGATAGATAGATAGATAGATAGATAGATAGGTGGGTGGGTGGGTGGGTGGATGGATGGATAGATGGATAGATGGATAGATGGATAGGGTTTCAAAGAGACCTGCAAGTACTTGATACAGCAGTTACGCCCATTTTTCCTTCATGTATTGGCCCGATGTCTAGTATTCCATATAAGACATCTACCATTAAGCTGTAAAACCTTAAAAGTCAGATAGCCAATACTGTGTTCTGAAAAAGACTGCATTTCTCAGCACCTACAAGAAGAATAATGGGGGTAAGGCAATCAAAAGCACCAGCAGAAATTGTCACCAGGAGGCCATAACAGGCTGAAGGGCCAATGGTTAGCTTTCTGAGGGGTTATGGACATAAAAGTATGGAGCTTTTCACATAATGACAGAAAGAGATTGTCCTTCTCTTCGATACTGTAAAAGAGGTTTATGAGTACAAGTTTTCAGAGTTTGTAATGAAGCGTGGAAAAGTGCCATCAACATGGTTAACTCTACATTGGACTGCCGTGTCTAGAACAGAAGAGGAAACAAATGTTAATAAAATGTTTTGGCCTGGTTTCACCTCAGCTTTTAAACCTTTTGGCTCACACTGCTTTCTTTTTTTAAAAAAACAAACAAACATCATAACCAGGCCTTTCTTTTCGTTTGCTACCTTATTATTTGTTCTTTTAAAAGGCCCACCAAGGCTCTCGCAGAGATCAATTCACTTGCACACGTGTAGATGGCTCTTTATTGACCCAATTTAGAAATAAAATTATGGCCTGCCTACCAAAAGCTGTTTCTGGAAACCAGACCTCTTTCAAGCTA